GTTTACTAATGCTTGCTTGTGCACCCATATACCTTCTCATCATTTGTGGCTTATCTTTTTATTGTCTTGTGTCTTTGGTATATGCTTTTTTTCTTCATGTATGATGGTTTTTAGTGCTTGAACTCACAGCCTGGGTACTGTCTCTGAGCTTCTGTGCTCAAGGCTAATCTTCTACCACTTGAGCCATAGCTTTACTTCTGGAGTTTTTCTTGCTTAATTGGAGATAAAATCTCACAGACTTAAACCTATCTGGGCTGGCTCTGAACCATGATTTTCAGATCTCATCCTCCTGAGTAACTAGCATTAAAGGTGTGTGCCACTGGTATCTGGAGTCTTAATTTTTATGTTGTTAAATATATTTATTCTTAGTTTTATGGTCAGGACTTTGAACCATATTATGAACTTTTCTATGTTGAGATCATTAAGATATTATGCTATATTTTCTTTATAAAATATATTTTTATTATAAAGGATGCACAGAAGGGTTACATTTACATAAATCAGGTAATGAGTACATTTCTTTTGGGACAGTGTCACCTCTTCCATTGCTCTCTCCTAGTGTTTCCCTCCTATTTCCACCCACAAGTTATATAGTTCATTTTCAACATAGTGTCTAATGCGTATCACTGCTGCATTTATTCACTTTTGTCCCACCATATCAGTGCCCCCTATCCCTTCATAGATGAACTTAGTAACAAGACAAAAGGTAAAGAAAACAAAATGTCAACAGATAAAAAAAGCTCTCTTGTTTCCATTTCTTGGAGTTCATTTAGATAAATATTATTTTATATGATCATATGCACACATGCCTTTGTGATCCTTTCCTAAGAATATCTTCTTGGGGTCTAATTGTGAATGTTTAGAAACCTGTACAATTTATCATGTCCCAGTGTATTTTTTGTTGTCTACCATCTAGTGTGTTTGCTTATAGATTTATAGGCATATTCTAGTTACCACAAATGAGGGAAAACATGCAGCCTATGTTTTCTTGGGTCTGGCTTATTTTGCCTAATGTAAGTTTTTCTAAGTCTTTTCATTTCTTTACAAATGGCACAATATCATTCTTTCTGATGGATGAGTAGAATTCCATTGTGTGTATATGCCACATTCTCTTGATTCATTTGTCTGTACTGATTCCGTATCTTGGCTATGGTAAACAATGCTGCAATGAACATGGTTGTCTGGTAGTGGACTTGTTTGTGGTCTATGGATAAATGCCCAGGAGTGGAATTGCTGGGTCATAGGGAAGCTCTGGAAGTTTTAAGTTTTTCTTTTTTTGGGGGGGGG